CTGAGAGGTCTTGACTTGAACTTTGTCTTAGGAACATCTTCACACTCAAATACCAGAACTGCAAAGGAAAGGAATCAAAGCCATCTTGTGTTTGTAATCTATAGAGACTAGAAGGGAAGGGGAAAGAGATTGCTCAGAATTCATACCTCGAGTGTTACCTTTGCTAAAAAATAATTTCTCTCATAACCTATCCTTTGGGCAACATTCTGATATTCCCAGTTGATTTCAGTATCAGGTGTGCAATCCTGTGAAATTCACCCAGATGTGCATCTGTTTCATACCCAGTTGTTAGAAATCACAGAAAGTGGAATTAAGGAGGCTTTGATTCAATGCCTAAGTAATGTCTTCACATTTTGCATCACAGCATAGATCAAAGATGCCTGCTGCAACAGAAATACAAACATAAACTTCACCTGACATTTACAGTTTAAATAAACAGAAAGGGAAGTGGAATTAAATGGAAAGAGAGAACAGTGTGAATACCTTTGTGAGTTTGCTTCAGGTGAGTCCCAGATGCTCATTTCTTCTGCTGGTTGTCTCATTGAAGTCTTTTCAACATGAGAAATACAATACCACTTGTAGCTCCTATTCCTCCAGGCAAACGTCCAGCGCTTTTGGTGTTCTTCTGAGACATATCAGCAGTGTTTAAACACTGTGTGTTCAGGAAACTAATTCCAGCAAATCCCTTACCTGGTGGTTGCAAATCATACCCGTGAATCTTCTACTTCATGAGCAGACTCTCGGATGCTGTGCAGTCAAGAAGCTCATTCTGGAAATCTCTTAGCTTGGTGATTGCAAATCATTCCCATGAATCTGCTATTTGGTGCACAGATTCTTAGATTATGTGTGTTCAGATGATGTTATCTGGTGATTGTATATAATTCATACAGATACCTTGCCTGGTGATTACAAATCATCTGCTTCATGCACAGTTGCTTGGATGTTAAGTTTTGTAGCATTGTTTACATTTTACTATGGGCTTCTTGGTTCATGTATGCCCCCTGATGCAAATCCTTTTCGTTCTCTTCAATAATAAATTCCTTAGAAAAACTTAATATGCCATGTTTATAATCAACTGAGGGAAAACGTTGTGTTGTAGATCCTTGCGACGTGTCTTCTGCTGCCTCATTCAGGCCCTGGATGCATAAACAAAATACATTATACTCATATTGGCTACTATCCTGGCATACAACATTTGTGATTATTCACATTCCAACTGGTTCTTTGGCCTTAAAAAATAATGCCCCTTCTTACGCATTCTGGCCTAGAAAAATGCAGGGAACAAAACCAACCTTTCTGCATGGCATTTATAGACGTTGCAAAGGTCTTTGACACCATGAAATTACAACGCTCTCTGGAACATCCTCTTGAAAATCAGATGCCCTGATAAATTTGTGGACATCCTGCAGCTTCTCCATGATGACAACAGTCTTTCTATCTTCATTGCTATGATTCTTCACCTCGAACAGATGGCAAATGCTTTAACCTCAGTAGGCTGAATAACTTCTGTTATTGAACTCCAATATGCTGATGATAACATAATCTGTCTTCATTCAGAGGAAGAGCTACAAATCATTTTAAACACCGTCACAGAAGCATATGAAGAATTAAGGCTGTCACTGAACATCGAGAAAACCAAAGTGCTCTACCAGTATCAGTGCTGAATTACAACACCACCTGAGCTCTGCAAGTACTTTTTTCGAATGAGAGTATTGAGACATTTGTAGGGATACCAAGATGCTTGTTCATAAAGCTATTGTCCTTCCAACTCTTTTGTATGCTTGTGAAACATGGATTGTTTACAAATGTCCCCCTCAACTCCTGGAAAGGTTTAATCAATGTTGCCTTCAAAAAAATCTCGCAAATCTTTTGGGAAGACAGGCAAACAAACGTCAGCATTCTGGACAAAACTAATATCAGCATTGAAGCGATAATTTTCTGCCATCAACTTCACTGGACTGGCCATGATGTCTGAATACCCAATCACTGTCTCCCAAAGCAGTTACTTTACTTTCAGCTCAAGATTGGAAAATGGAGTGTTGGTGGACAACAAAAGATATTTCAAGATGAGGTTAAAGCTAAATGGAAAAATGTGGTATAAACGCAGACCTAGGAATCCCAGACCCTAGAGCATTTTTAATTGGACGTCATCTGTTACCAAAAGTGCTATGGATTTTGAAAATGCACAAATAAAGGGTTAAAGGGTAAGTGTGCCAAGGGGAGTTTGCATCAAGCAAACCCTTGTCGTGATCACCTTTCTTTTTGGAAATCTGTATCCTCATTGTGGAAGTCTATGTGTATCCAGAATAGGTCTCTCCAGTCACGGACCCTCTGCCAAGACTCTACCCTTGGAAGACAGTCATACTCATCCATCAGTAATTTCCTAAAGTAGTAGGTGGGAAGGACCACATGATGATTCCCACCAAGAGATCAGCCACAGACTAATTTTTGATATTCATTTGATGCTGATGTATATTAAAGGAAAAATATGTACATCTACATGTATTGCAGTTAGAAGAAGCAATAATGTGAACAGGGAATAATTTTTTTTCATAAGAGAAGATGTAGAATCATAGAATCATAGAGTTGGAAGAGACCACATGGGCCATCTAGTCAAGCCCTCCTGCCATGCAGGAAAAGCAAAATTAAAGCACGCCTGACAGATGGCCATCTAGCTTCTGTTTAAAAGCTTCCAAGGAAGGCGCTTCCACCACACTTGGAAGTTGAGAGTTCCACACCTAAACAACTTTTACAGTCAGGAAGTTCTTCCTAATGTTCAGGTGGAATCTCCTTTCCTGTAATTTGAATCCATGTGTGAATTTCACAGATGACCACTCAAAGAAACTTGGTTACAGGTAAGTGACCCAGTCTTCCTGGCTCACACAGAAGATGATTTGAAAGCATGATAGTTACCTGAATCGTCCCCAGTTGCGCAATGAGCCCCCAGTGACTGTCAGGTTGGCAATTCAAATCTGGGTAGCAGGGTGAGCTGTCATCTCGGCTCTAGCTTCCTATGTTGGACATGAGAGAAACCTCCCACAGGATAGTAAAATATCAAAACATCCGGGCGTTTCCCTGGGCAACATCCTTGCAGACGGCCAATTCTCTCACACCAGAAGCGACTTGCAGTTTCTCAAGTCACTCCTGACACGAAAAACAAAAAAACCTGAACCACACAGCTGCATTCATTTCCTAACAGAGATCAAAAGGCAGTTTTGCTTTAGGAGGGAGATGTTGCCCAGTTGGTCTATTCCGGGTCTTCAGGACACATTGCACCATTGTGTGTCCATGTGACATGTGACTTAATGGTGACTCCATGCATTTCATAGAGTTTTCTTAGGCAAGGAATCCTCAGATGATGTTTTGGCAGTCCCGTCCCCTGAAACATTGCCATGCTATGCTGTTTGAAACTGCATTATATGGTCAGTGTAGACCAGACCTGTGCAACATATGAATTGTGGATCAGATGCAGCCCACAAAGGACTTCCCTGTGGCATACGGAGGCATTAGGCATACGTCTTTTAGAAGGTGGTCAGTGAAGTTCAGTCAAATGGGGGCAGATTGGTTGGCCTTGAGTTTCCCAGTACAGTACTATCAGTGGGGAGCTCCCCTCTGCAGGCAGTAATGTCACCCTCTTCCTTATCCAGCTGTTAACTTTGCCCTAGCCTGGATTTGCCAGCTGCACACACTTTACTTTGGATTTGGTGGTAAATCGATGGCTGATTAAAATATATATAAAAGATAATTGAATTGCAATGGTTTTATTGCTCAGTGTCAGCCAATAGTGCTGATAGAAGAAAAGTTTGACTGTACCTTTCTCTGAAGCAGAGAGTGTGGTGCATGCCCATGAGAATGTGACTCACTCAAGACAACCACTAACTAGCTTATGTACCTGGTGTTGTCTGGGTATGCATTTTCTAATGCTAATTATTGGACATTCCAATTGTTAGCCTTATAATTTTATGATTGCTAAGCAGTACAAGCTTGAATGCACTTTTCAGGTTTTCTTGCTATTTACATTTGTTTAATTAGCAAAGTATTTTTTCATATTGATGTGATTTTGTAATAAAAGTCTTACCTAATATTTTAATTAATTGATATACATTGACATTTCCCCTTTTAATAATATGGTTTATTTGCACAATAATTTATCCATTAATTATACCTTTACTCGGAAGGTGAGATGCTGAAAACCTGTGTGCAGCCCAAAAAGCTTTCGACTATTTTAATTTTGGCCTCTTGCTCCTGCCAAGTTGTACAGGCCTGGTGTAAATCATGAAAAACTATGGATTGCTCATCAAAAATGGGTGAGCCTGTACTATCAATGCAGTCCTCTTTAAATAGAGTGGATGCATGAAAATAAGGAAACAGTTCAGATAATTTGAAGAGTAATGTGGAAGAGGGGCTTTAGTAGGTGTAGCTGCACACCTGCCATACTTACCATTGTCACAGAACTATTTATGTGGTCAGGCCATCCACAGAACATTTGCGCTCCTCTTGCAGACCACAAGCATTATGCTGACAACAGATTATATATTATTGTTCTATAATGTATTAGCAATGTTTATTACTGATCTCATAGTTATGGCCCATACAGATGCTGAACAGCCAGAGGGCCACTCGTTGCTGGAAGAAAATATATAAACAGAGGAAACCATATGAATTGGTGCTAAACACTGCATATTCTAGCTGGGGTGAATCAGGTTTTGTGGCTTTTTGCTTCATCCTGATCAAAAAAGTATGAAAAGCGTCCAATATAAAATAATGTATACTGCAGCCAATGACCCACAAAATAGTCACCAGTATTTCCTAATAGCTGAATACTCATCTGCAGTAATTCAGTAAATCAAAATCCAGGTTTGTCTGATCTACTGCATACGCCTATAGTGCCACCTTCTTGCAGGAAGACATTAAAACAAATGTCTATGTAGGTTTTGTGATGTACTCTAACCTGTACATTTTCCCTAATATTTGATATTTTTATTCTTTTTTATTTTTAGGTCACTTCATGGGCAACAATACAGTAATAGATGTTTTGAGAAGAGAAGGATATGGAGTTGACCATACTTCTGCTGGACAAGCCATCAACAGGTAACATATTCATCTTCAAGTTTGACATTATATCCCATAAAGAGTGAGAACATTCATAAATTTTCATGGAAGGCGTAGGCAGCATTCACCACCAGCAATTTTTGTTCTCCCACCTTATCTTCACTGCTTGGAAATTTGGAGGTGGCAGTTAGGATTCAAAACCAGGGAAGTCATACTTCTGGAATCCTCTCAAAGGATTTTCTCTCTGTCTCATCATCTTTTGGGAGAAGGAAATTCAGAGTAAGTTTTGACTTGACTTGTGACCTCCTAAGAGATTCTTGCATTCTTGCAAGAGAGGAGATTCCATCTGAACATGAGGAAGAACTGACTGGGAGAGCCGTTCAGCAGTGGAACTCTCTGCCCCGGAGTGTGGTGGAGGCTCCTTCTTTGGAAGCTTTTAAACAGAGGCTGGATGGCCATCTGTCAGGGGTGATTTGAATGCAATATTCCTGCTTCTTGGCAGGGGGATGGACTAGATGGCCCATGAGGTCTCTTCCAACTCTTTGATTCTATGATTCTGTCATCTACTTTTCTGTCTGATAAATCTGTTTTTTACATCATAGCTCTACTCCCACATTCAGATTTGCTGACTGCGTCTGGCTGAGAATTAAAGGCACGCGTGCTCTCACTTTTTACATTTCCCACTTCCCTGTAAACGCAGCCTAGCATTAGAAGTAATACAATACTCTCTGTTTTATGTAATATTGCCATTTACTGCATGTTGCTTCTGGCAGATGTTTAGAAGAAACCTGCCTATGATCTCCCTGCCTCCCAATATTCAAATTTTGACTTTGTGTAAGGTGCAATCTTCAAACCACATAATGCATTTTCTGGTGTTTTTGTTCTTGTTCCATAATACTGGCAAAATATGCTGAGTGTTAAAAATTATAATCTCCCCCCCCCCCCCAAAAAAAAAACCAAATGCTAATATTAATGTCCTGAGCCTGTATTTCCTCTGGGAGACTGGAAATAAATGATAAGTGAAGGCTTCACAATTTTTGTATGGTACATACAGATTGAGTATCCTTTATCCAAAATGTTTCAAGATCAGAAGTTTGTAGGATTTTGAATATTTTCAGATTTTGGAATACTTGTATTTGCATATATCTACATAAAAGAACCCTTGTAAACTCAAACTTTATGTTCCATGCGTATTTTGCACATATCATCTGAAAGTAATTTTATGCAATAATATTAATAATTTTGTGCATGAAACAAAGTTTGTTTACATTAAATCATCAGAAAACAAAGGCATCTGAGCCACCTGTTTGGACAATTTTGGAGTATTTCAAATTTCAGACTACCACATAAGAGATACTTAATTTGCATAGTTTTGGCAATGTTTTCGATACTCAGTAGCTTACATCTAGAGGTCCCAGGTTGCAACCTGGAAATTGTGGTGGTCCTTCTGAAAAGTCAAAGAGAATTTGTGAAATATGAGGTAGAGTCTAGCTTTCATTTTCCAGCAGTCTGGCTGCTTTCGCAATAAAGACTCAAAAACTGTCCCACTGAAGGTTTTTGCTTTTGCTTTTGCTTTTGCTTTTGCTTTTTCTTTTCTTTTCTTTTCTTTTCTTTTCTTTTCTTTTCTTTTTGAGGAGTTGAATTGGTGACTGTTAAATGTATGGTAGTGACGTACATCTTTTCTAATTTCATTCCGACATGGAAGATCCAAATAATTTGGTAATTTTCTCCCTTCTAGGTAAGAATACAGGAGTTTCTGTGCATTTTAAAATGATTTCTCACAGTTTGGAACTTTATTACAAACAAATAATTTATACATGAAACTTGGTTATTTCACAAAAAGACCACAGAACATGCAAAATAAACAAGCTAAAGAACCCTGATAACAATTGAACTCCCTGATTTATGAATGGAATCTATTAACCCAAAATACAACTGAGCCTTGGAAGGCAAGAAAACCTTCCCTCTGGTTCTTTTTAGCATCATTCTTTTTTTTCTGTTTGCAGTGGGAAGAATCGAAAGGCGCTGTCTTCCCTCTCATCGTCTTCCTCAGAATACCCCTCTTACATCATCTCCCAAGAGCTCCATCCTTCCCAACAACATCCCCAGAAAGAGGAGGAGGAAGAGGAGGAGGAGCTGTTGCCTCATTTGCTGCTCCCGGAAAGCATCGACCTGTTGGAGAAAGTAGACAGGAAATATAAAAAGAAGAAAAAGAAGCAGCAGAAGAAACAGCGTTTGCGCCAGTTCAATGACCTCTGGGTACGCATTGAGGAAAGGTAATGAATTGGTGAAGGTGGCCAACAGCATGTTTGCACACTGCAATGCCTGATTCCCCATGTTCCTAATATAATTGGTGGAAATGGGGAAGTTATTGGTGGAAGTAGGGAAGAATTGGGAAGAGAAATTTGGAGTCCCCTAGTAGTATCAACAGGCAGAAGTCCATACATGTTTGGTGATTGTGCTAGCAGGTAAGTACACTATTGGGAGTATGGTACAATAGATTCTAGCAAAGCATTATCTTAAGAGTGATTTATATGGTGCTTCTCATTATAATTTTTGATGAATAATTAAAAATATGATACTCATAAGTTCTAGTATTTTCAGTAGTAGGAACAGTTGTAGTTTTGCTTCTTTTTGCTGTTTTATTGTGTGGCTGAAAATGATATTTTTTAAAAGTCACAATTTCCAAAATTCTTTACACACATCTCCAAAAATCTCGCAAAAAAAATAATCTTGACAGCTTATGAATAAACCAGGAATGTTTGGGATGGGGCCTTTGATAACTTCCAGTAATGAATGAAAAAGAGCCTGGCTTTGATTTCTCCCTGCACTAGATTTTACAGCATTGCTTTGGTTCATTCTCAGTGCGTAGACGTAAGTCCTGTCAGGGCTGCTGTTCTGTAGAATGGCCAGGTGGCTCTTTTCCTTAAGCATACAAATGTCCTATGGGGGCTTTTAGCCATGAAGAAGTAAGTGTATAAAGGGGATGCTAATAGCCTTCAGATCCCAGAGTGCTCCCTTTCTCTTCCTGGTCTTAATGCACTTGGCTAGCAGAAAACTGAAACAGCCTGTAGCAGCCTAATGGTGTTTAGTCAAAGCTAATAGTTTTTATTTTTTGTCCATTGGGATTTAAATTTTTGCCTGCAACTTAAAGAGCATTTTTACCTAGCTATTGTAAGTGGAAGTGATAGGGATTCAGATTGAGGTCAGCATTAAGCCTCCTTCAGATGTAAACAACTCGCATTTCTATGCGTGAGTAGTGTTTCTCTTGGCTCTTTTTCTCCTCTACATTTGAGGTTTTTGTGGGGATCTGGAACCAATTTTGTAGGCTTCATCTAATTTGCTTTTCCACTCAATATCTTTCTTCCTCACATCTGATCTTGAATGCATCCATTTACTGATAAGATAAAGTACTGAAATGTGCTGCAAGGGGACATGTGGGAACGATGGGATGGAAGGCTTTATGTTTTAAGATTGTGCTGGCAGATGTAGCTATGTTGCTTGCGTAAGATTTTTGTCAGTCTGAGGCTTTACTTTTTCAACCATTTCTTGCATGTTTTTAAATACTCTTACCAAAACTATTTTATACTGTTCATTGTGATGCTTTCTTTTTGCAATTGTGATTGTTTCCCCTTTATATCTGTGCCACCCATAGTCAGATTTTAGCATAGAAATATGGTATTAATATTGACAAATAAGACATAATGTATAAATTCCTTCCATATAGATAGCTATTTAGCCTGCTGTGCTACAACTGTGTAGAGAAATTGTATTTTCCTTTATTTTATGAGAAGATCGTTCCATCATGGGAGCTTATACTTGCAGGTCTAATGTGAAAAACAGACCTGAAAATGTGCCTGGCTCGCATGTAGCCTCACTAGTTTCTCCTAAGGAAGTCGTTATTGATCTATGTTTGTTACAACACACAGAATATGTGCCCGTCAGATATAATAACATGGATGTGTTTCACAGTTGTTATAAGTCTACCACTTGTTACTTGCTTGAAGAAATAATTGCTTAAAAAGCATCCCTACAATACTAAATACGCAACACACAGTCAGTACTAATTTGAAGAATTACTCAACCAACATAAAGCCTATATAAATGCTAAGAATTGAGGTCAAAATACAAGTTATAACAAACATGTGAGTGCCACTTGATGTTGCTTTTCCCCCTTCAATAATATGTCACAAAGCCCTTCACATCATATACTGTGTTCAATGGGCCTTTGTCCCCTTCCCATGGACTCTGAAATTTGTGGATGCTCTGGTCCCATTATATGCAATGAGATAGCAAAATGGTATCTTTTAGATAAAATCAAGGTTTGCTTTTATTAAAGCCCTTGATGGTGGAATCCAGTGATCCAGAATCCTCAGATAAGGAGGGTTAACTATATTTTCTTGCCCTCATTCTACATCTGCTGCCTTTCTCTCTCTCTTTGAATTACATCGCATCTTGCTCCCGAAACTAGGGCACAGTGTGATTCACAAGGTGAACTTTTAAAATACAGAAAAAATGCAACATGTTCTATCAAAACACAGTTAAGCAAAGTATATTAGTATTTTATTCAATCACAAGCAATTAAAAGTACAGCAGTAAGTAGAGCATAGTACCCATCCATTTAAAGCTGCCTCACAAACCAATAAACTACCAAAGGTCCACCTGAATGAAAATATGTTTGACTACTGATGGAAGGAGAAACAGGAAGGAAATGGCCACCAAAAAAAAAAAAAAAAACCCAAACAACCTGAGTGAAAGAAACTCAGTGTGGTGAATTTAGGTGACAATAAAATTTTGAATCCAATTATATAGTATAAAGGGAGAATTTGGTGTTGATTTACCGTATCTAGCAAAAATCACGAGTTTGTTGTAGAATGTAATTCTTCCCTATGGTTTATTATATGTATCTTTAAGTATCTATCCTGCTGCTTTTTTTTTTTGCTGGACAACATCTCATCAGAACTGTTTGCTCTTTTTCTTCCCTTGCAGTACCACTGATCCACCACCGCGGATCCGCATAATTAATGGTTACATTACTGTAGAGCCTCAGCCACGGGGTCACGGCCGATCCAGTCATGTCCAGGCAGACCTGAACTCCTCCAGTGGGTTGTTTCTGTTCTTTTATGCATTGACATTGACGTTGGTGTTTTCTACTATAACGTTGCTGGTGTGAATCTCCGACAAAGAGCAACATATTCTATTTTTTGGGAATGATCTGGTGGTGAAATGAAGAAACAATGACTTTATTTGGATGGGAGATCATCTATATGGGTGTGTTTTAAGCCTTATCCTTTTCCTGAATCTGGACCATTCACATGATTAACTGGCTTCGCCATGCCCAATACAGGAAAAGATATTTTTAATGAAAGCCATTTTTATCCTTCTCTTGCAGAAGAAATATTTCATGTTATCCCATAATGATTTTGGGAGATGTATATGTACTTTAGCTGTTATTTACCTGTATGAAATTGACTTGAATGCAGTTTGTTTGGGGTTTTTCCATTTCTACATTATCTCTTGGATGGTGTTAAAGGAAGTTTTTTGGCGCCTTAAAGTGCAGTAGCAACCTGTGTTGAAATAATATTCCAGTAGCGATAATACCATTTGGAATGTAATGCAGTCTGTCCATGGCAGATTCACACAATACCTTGGTGCTTTTCATGTATGTTTTTCAGATGCTACATGTTCCCCCACTTCCTTGTTAAAATATCTCATGTCTATTAATAATGGAGGCGAGGGGGTTGGTAGCTCCAAAGGTTGCTCCCCTCTTCAGGATAATTGGTCTATTATGTTGAGGTATCATTTGAAATATTTTGGTACCTATTTTAAACAAATAAATGAGTTGTGTCTCTTGTCTCTTGCATAGGGCTGTTGACATCTTTGCCTGGAAATGTGTCTGACTCACTACTGTATCTTAGAGGGTAGACTGACTGACATGGTTAATTCTTGAGGTCATGTTATTATACCATCTACTTTTAGGGTTAGTCACCTCTCACTATTTGTTTCAGTCCTTTCAAGTGTTGCCAGATTGGTGCGGAAAATGCCATGTTGCACCAGCTATGTGATGACCCCTACTTTGTATTCATTCTTGCATAACAATCATTCTGCTGCACTCATGATCAGAATAGTTAAAGTCTTGACCTCTTATTCTTCTGTTGCCTACATTTGCAAGTAGGATTTCAATCTAACACAGAAGTGATCTAAAGGATCCAAAGAGTGCTGACTGATATTCCAGATTGTACTGTGGTTGTGGTGATGATGTTGCACTGCTATGATAAAAAATGTATGTTTACAAATATTCCAGCTACTCAGGGTGCTTAAATCCAGTCTTCAAAGCCTTGAAAGGTAAGTTGTTAGTGGTATGAAAGCTAAAGTTGCCTCTAAAGAATTCTAAGATGAGCTCTCAAACTTGGATGAATGGATAACAAAATGGGAAGTGAGATTTAGTGCTGAAGGATCTGAATCTAAATTGCAACTTCACATATTTCTTATTTATATACTTGATTAATAAAGAATTGTTTATGTTATCTCACCCCAAGGCAATGTACAACAGATTAAAAACAGTCTTTGAAAACAAATCAAAACACGGATGGAATTTAGATTGGGAGCTCAATGAAAAGATCAACTTACTCTATGTTGTTTTGAAAAAGGCATCTGGAGGAATATGGAGGAAAAGGACTGAAAATGAAACTTCTAGTATAATAATACCTGTGTATAGTCACGCCTGTTATATTTTGCCCTGTTTACTGTATGTAATACTCAATGAAATAGAACAGGAAAAAGTAAGACAGATAAAGAGATTGAAGTACCTTAGGAAGAAACATTTGGGGTTCTTTTACACCAGTGGTTTGGAACTTGTAGTCCATGGATCACCAGTGGGCCCCAAGAACTAATATATGGTCCGTGTTTTCACCATTACTACACCATTGCAACGAGAGTGACTAGTCTTTATGAAACCCTCTTATAGTACCGAGGCAACGGGGATGTTGGGAGGGGAGAGGATGACTATCCACAAAAAGTGTGACAACAAGCCTCCTGATTGCTGCTTCTCCTCCTCCTCCCTCTCCCTGAGCGGATCTGTTCCATGTGGCGCATGAAAGCACGTGCACCTTGGTGTCTTTATTTTTAGGCCTGTTCCTGGGGTTATTTGGGATGCTGATTCAGAACATTGTATTGGATAGATCACATCAGCTCTAGATTATTAAATATGATTTTCTGTGGGTGAGCAGATGGTGACTACTGGATGGCATATTTTCTGTATCAGAAACTAGAGCTCATGTGGTCTGTGTGGTTCATTCGTTCAGTCGTTTCTGACTCTTCGTGACTTCATGGACCAGCCCACGTCAGAGATCCCTGTCAGCCGTCACCACCCCCAGCTCCTTCAAGGTCAATCCAGTCACTTCAAGGAAACCATCCATCCATCTTGCCCTTGGTCGGCCCCTCTTCCTTTTTCCTTCCATTTTCCCCAGCATAATTGTCTTCTCTAAGCTTTCCTTTCTTGTCATGATGTGGCCAAAGTACTTCATCTTGCCCTCTACTATTCTTCCCTCCAATAAAGTCAGGCTTTATTTCTTGAAGTATGGACTGGTTGGATCTTCTCGCTGTCCAAGGCACTCTCTGCACTTTCCTCCAACACCTATCCAATTGGTCTATCCAATGCAATTGGTCTATCCAATGCAATTGGTCACTACCTCTGAGGATGCTTGCCATAGATGCAGGCGAAACGTCAGGAGAAATGCCTCTAGAACATGGCCCTATAGCCCGAAAAAACCTACAAGAACCTAGTGATTCCAGCCATGAAAGCCTTCGACAATACATTAAAATAAATCCTCTCAAATACTAGGTCAAGAATTGGCATAGTTATCATATGGAGATGCTTTGAAAGTGTATGCAACCACTACCCACATCTCACCCTTTAAATGTTATTTGCTAGCACATTCCATTTTTGATGAATTTGTATCTATTCTTGCCTTAAGAGTTTAGTTAGTAGTGATGACGTTGTAGGGGTCAGATTGAGAACAAAAAGCCATAAGAGTTTCCATGTTTGTGCTTCTTTCCCCCTTGGATTTTGTTCATGACAGATTAAAATTCTTTTTGGAAAGGGAAGAAGAGAACCAACTCAGATAAAACTAGAAAGCAGTATCAACTCAGGGTTAGTTTGGGATGTGTTTATGTTTTATTATTTTGACAAAGGTAGGAGAAAAAAAGGGATTTTGATTGTATAAAGTAAGACTCCCCACACAGAACACCAAAAGGCAAGGAAAAAAGTTACTTGCTGTGGACGACATGCAGAGATTTTCCTTCTTGCCTTTGTTTTTCCATCTTTGTACTATTTGAGGTAGAATTCTATAGGTATGTACAATACTCTCAGAAGACGAAGGCCAATTTAGAATTTCACTTCAGACAGTGAGCTAGTCTTAGACTGCCCTATTTTCTTATTTCCTGCAGAGTCTAAGTACAGTGCCTTTCATGAGTGAGATACACATGCTGGCAGAGTTCACAAAGTTGTATTGCTTCTTTTGATCAGTTATTTATAATACAGCGACACAGTCAAGAAGAGTATCTAGAAATCACATTGAAAACTTCAATTGCAGACAGTTCTGCCATGTACTTTACATGACATATTTCTTCCATGGTTTGATCTCCAGTATGAAAGATTGGAAAGGAAAAAAATAAAATCCATAATTCAGTCTCAATAATCCATAATTTAATTCATTGGACCAAAAAGTTTGAATAGACTCAAAAGGAAAGGCAAGCAGGTATGTATGAAGTATGTAAAAGCAATGGTAGTTTATATACATTTTAAAAATTGGATTAACTGGTTGAAAAGTGGGAAATCTAGTTTTTCTTCTTTCTTTTTTCAAATTCTCTTTTTTTCTGTAGAGGTTAGATGTTTGTTTAAGCCTGATTTTTTGTTGTGGTTAGATATCTATCTCTTTTTACTTTTATGTGATTTTAATGGATATGGTAATAAAGAAACTCACCAAAAAAAAAAGAAAAGAAAAAGGCAAGCAGATGGATGTAAGTAGCCAGAAGAAAAAAGAAAAAGAAAAACCAAGATGAGGGAGGGTGTGAAACTTTGTTTAAGAAATCATAAAGAGTAAGTCCATAACACAACATAATTTACATTTGATGACTCATTCTATATTTTTATTTAGACTTAATTAAATCAAATGTCTATTTTAGCTACAAAGTTACAAGTTTAAAATCCTGAAATGATTCTTAATTGGCAATTTAGTGGTTAGAAAAGAATACTACAATGCCTGTTGGAAACTTTGGAAAACTTGTGTCAATACATTTTGACAGAAATTAGACTCCATAGATAAACTTTGGGGGACATTCAAGAATGCAAGTCCAATCAGTCTTTCTTGATCCATTGTGCTTTTCAAACATTTCAATGCTTTTCAAACATTTTCAAACATTTCATTTTTAACTGTTGACACGGGCAATGTTGCAGAAATCTGAAGACGTTTCTTCATATTAGGAAAAAACTGTATCACAGACAAGATATGCTTTCAGTGTATTTGATGGTTTTTCTGCAGGTGCAATCTTTTTCCATTTTCTACACCACAGGTCAAACTCTTCTATCAGTGTGTCAGTATCTTGAAGGCATTCATTGTAAAATTATGTGGACTTGTTAAGATGGATTTTAAATTGCCACAATTAATAGGGAGGAACACTTTCAGTTTCTGAACTACTCCCCTGTGCCTTGTAAATCTTTCTTGAAGCTGACTGCAGAAAAAGTCCACAAATGGGATGTACATCTTTATCCTATAATATTCCATTGGTGTTGGTGACGTTGCCTGAATGTTGCTTTTACAAGTCTGCCTTGAATAATACGAGGAATCCTAACTTCTGCACCCATAGGCTCCATCACTGATCTTGCTGTGTCAAAGATCTCCTGCAATTCTTTCACAGATTCTATGTGCTTTTTTCTAAGAGACTGTCGACATATTGCAGACTACAAAAAATGTCCATATCTACTCTTTGTAATGTTTTGCTAAGATGAAGAGATGATGACATAAGCTTTCTTAGGATGTGTATGGTTACTGCAAATTCAGCATTCAGAACAGCTAAAAGGTGTCCAGCTTGGGAAGAAGTCTCACTGTTGTATAGAGGACTCTCCTTTTGTTCTTCAAGAGTTCTCACTACCACACTGTATAGTTCAACAGAACGTAAAACTGCATCATGTCTCTCAACCCAACGGGTTTCACAAAGTGGCAACAAGTTGTTTGTTCTTAATTCAGATAAACAGTATTTTATGTTTCTTAACAGTTCCAGTCTGATGGAAGATGCTCTGAAGAAATTGCACACATATGATATTGTTTCTTGGCAGTTTTAGACAGGCAGGATGTTGCAAGTCTTTGCTAAGGCTAGATTCAGTGAGTGAGTACTGTATTGAATGTAGACGGCCATCTGATATTTCTGCAATGTAATTGCCTGTACACCACTAATATGACCACTCATATTAGCAGTTCCATCATAACACTGTCCACACAAGTATTGCAAGTTTAGTCCAATTTTCCAGTGCTTTTAAAAAAATGCTTGCAGGTCCTCCACCTGTCATACCGCTTATCTTCACAAAACCTATAAAGTCTTCTCTTATTGCTCTAACATCAGTATCACCGTAACTTACCGAGAGTGATAACTGCTCTAAGGTACTCACATCCAAAGTTTCATCTCCCAAAACAGAGAAACACTGTGATGCATTGTATCTTCCAACAATTTTTGGACTATCTTGCCACCACAAATGTCTATTAGTTCAATCTGTATTTGAGGGCTAGTATACTGGGGTTTCAAGATGACTTTTCAGGTCAGTGTCTCCTGATCTGGCACAAGATCTCAACAGGGCCCTGAAATT